AGGTTTAGGTTTAGGTTTAGGTTTAGGTTTAGGTTTAGGTTTAGGTTTAGGTTTATTTTTCGACAACTTACTATACTCTTGCCATTCTGATAAAAAATCATGCAAAAAAAATGTTAAAAACATATTTCTTTTTAGTTCCCTAAAAACCCAAGTTGGCCGACTCTGAATTTTGGAATACATATTTTGGAAACTGCTGGAATTCATCTCGTAAATATTATATCTGTTTCAGTTTAGCTCAAAATACGAACAATAATATTTTTTGTTTTAATAGTTGTGTATTTTTAGAAGCTTTTATTTAACTTGCTCATTCTGTCTTTTTGTACGGGTCAAAACGGGCGAGCCCCATAGGGACGGTTATTCTCCACCAACTTACTTATCATTTGGATCCGCCTATTATGTCCAGCTTACATTAAAAAGATATCAATGGTAGTACGACACGTATCATTTATCGACCTGCTAGACCTTTGTAATACTTGCTCAAGTTTGAAATGTTCTCGTTGTGGAATTTATATTAATTGCTTAGTAGTTTAATTAATGTGTGGATTTATTGTAGAATGTTCTATTCAATGTTATATCCTATATTACTTGTTACTCAGAAGATTTATTAACTGTAATTTGCAAATGACGAAGTGGACCGCCATTTAAGTAAGTTATTATGTGACGTGGTGGACGGCCTTTATAGCCAGGTTCACAAGTGACGAAGTAGACGGCCGATATTTCTAGTTTAAAAGTGCCGTAATCGGCGGTCTATATACCTAGGTTCACTGCAGAGTGTAGACTGTAGGATTAATGTACGGCCGTTATAGCTATTCTAACAAGTGACAAAATGGAAGGCCGTTATAGCTATTCTAACAAGTGACAAAATGGACGGCCGTTATAGTTATTCTAACTAGTGGCAAAATGTCCCTGTCGGACAGATGTCCCTGTCAGGCCAGATGTCCCTGTTGGCCAGATGTCCCTGTCCCTGTCAGGCCAGATGTCCCTGTCAGGCCAGATGTCTCTGTCAGGCCAGATGTCCCTGTCCCTGTCAGGCCAGATGTCCCTGTCCCTGTCGGCCAGATGTCCCTGTCAGGCCAGATGTCCCTGTCCCTGTCAGGCCAGATGTCCCTGTCAGGCCAGATGTCCCTGTCCCTGTCAGGCCAGATGTCCCTGTCAGGCCAGATGTCCCTGTCCCTGTCGGCCAGATGTCCCTGTCAGGCCAGATGTCCCTGTCAGGCCAGATGTCTCTGTCAGGCCGGATGTCCCTGTCCCTGTCGGCCAGATGTCCCTGTCAAGCCAGATGTCCCTGTCAGGCCAGATGTCTCTGTCAGGCCAGATGTCCCTGTCAGGCCAGATGTCCCTGTCAGGCCAGATGTCCCTGTCAGGCCAGATGTCCCTGTCAGGCCAGATGTCTCTGTCAGGCCAGATGTCCCTGTCCCTGTCGGCCAGATGTCCCTGTCAGGCCAGATGTCCCTGTCCCTGTCGGCCAGATGTCCCTGTCAGGCCAGATGTCCCTGTCAGGCCAGATGCCTCTGTCAGGCCAGATGTCCCTGTCCCTGTCAGGCCAGATGTCCCTGTCAGGCCAGATGTCCCTGTCCCTGTCGGCCAGATATCCCTGTCAGGCCAGATGTCCCTGTCCCTGTCAGGCCAGATGTCCCTGTCAGGCCAGATGTCCCTGTCCCTGTCGGCCAGATGTCCCTGTCAGGCCAGATGTCCCTGTCCCTGTCAGGCCAGATGTCCCTGTCAGGCCAGATGTCCCTGTCCCTGTCAGGCCAGATGTCCCTGTCAGGCCAGATGTCCCTGTCGGCCAGATGTCCCTGTCAGGCCAGATGTCCCTGTCAGGCCAGATGTCCCTGTCAGGCCAGATGTCCCTGTCCCTGTCAGGCCAGATGTCCCTGTCAGGCCAGATGTCCCTGTCGGCCAGATGTCCCTGTCAGGCCAGATGTCCCTGTCAGGCCAGATGTCCCTGTCAGGCCAGATGTCCCTGTCAGGCCAGATGTCGCTGTCAGGCCAGATGTCCCTGTCAGGCCAGATGTCCCTGTCAGGCCAGATGTCCCTGTCAGGCCAGATGTCTCTGTCAGGCCAGATGTCCCTGTCAGGCCAGATGTCCCTGTCCCTGTCAGGCCAGATGTCCCTGTCCCTGTCGGCCAGATGTCCCTGTCAGGCCAGATGTCCCTGTCAGGCCAGATGTCTCTGTCAGGCCAGAATGTCTCTGTCAGGCCAGATGTCCCTGTCAGGCCAGATGTCCCTGTCCCTGTCAGGCCAGATGTCCCTGTCAGGCCAGATGTCTCTGTCAGGCCAGATGTCTCTGTCAGGCCAGATGTCCCTGTCCCTGTCGGCCAGATGTCCCTGTCAGGCCAGATGTCCCTGTCCCTGTCAGGCCAGATGTCCCTGTCAGGCCAGATGTCTCTGTCAGGCCAGATGTCTCTGTCAGGCCAGATGTCCCTGTCCCTGTCAGGCCAGATGTCCCTGTCAGGCCAGATGTCTCTGTCAGGCCAGATGTCCCTGTCCCTGTCAGGCCAGATGTCCCTGTCCCTGTCGGCCAGATGTCCCTGTCAGGCCAGATGTCCCTGTCCCTGTCAGGCCAGATGTCCCTGTCAGGCCAGATGTCCCTGTCCCTGTCGGCCAGATGTCCCTGTCAGGCCAGATGTCCCTGTCCCTGTCAGGCCAGATGTCCCTGTCAGGCCAGATGTCCCTGTCCCTGTCAGGCCAGATGTCCCTGTACCTGTCGGCCAGATGTCCCTGTCAGGCCAGATGTCCCTGTCCCTGTCAGGCCAGATGTCCCTGTCAGGCCAGATGTCCCTGTCAGGCCAGATGTCCCTGTCAGGCCAGATGTCCCTGTCCCTGTCGGCCAGATGTCCCTGTCAGGCCAGATGTCCCTGTCAGGCCAGATGTCCCTGTCCCTGTCAGGCCAGATGTCCCTGTCCCTGTCGGCCAGATGTCCCTGTCACTCCAGATGTCCCTGTCAGGCCAGATGTCCCTGTCCCTGTCAGGCCAGATGTCCCTGTGAGGCCAGATGTCCTTATAGCTATTCTTACAAGTGACGAAATGGGCGGCCGTTATAGCTATTCTAACTAGTGGCAAAATGGACGGCCGTTATAGCTATTCTACCACGTGACGAAATGTACGGCCGTTATAGCTATTCTAACTAGTGGCAAAATGGACGGCCGTTATAGCTATTCTAACTAGTGACGAAATGGACGGCCGTTATAGCTATTCTAACTAGTGACGGAATGGACGGCCGTTATAGCTATTCTAACTAGTGGCAAAATGTACGGCCGTTATAGCTATTCTAACTAGTGACGAAATGGACGGCCATTATAGCTATTCTAACAAGTGCTGTAATAAATTACTGCTATAGGTCACCAACCAATTATATGGCTCATGCAGGTTTATTTGAGCCTTAGAGCTGGCTGGTGACCTACTTACCAGCTCTATACCCAGGTCATCAAGTAAATAAAGACCAAACCATCTAAGAATTCAGAGAAGTATTAACCAAGTGATCGATAAGTTTTGTAATAATATGTGTTGCTTGTAAATCATTGAAAACACTATTTTGTCAGATGCGCAATAACATTCAAACGTCCATTTGTTTTAATAAAACACTATTTAATAAATTCCAGTGCAGTGTTATGATGAAATTTCAATATTTTTCATTACTTGACTCTGGCTTAAAGCTACATTGCTAATGAGATTGTGAGCATTAAATACAAACCAGTTTATTGTTGGAAAGAACGTAATGGTAAGGTGTTCCCTTTGAATCCAGTGTGTGATATAAATGAAATAAATTTCATCCACGTGTAATTAAAGCAATAGGATCTATAGTCTTACTGAGACTGAGCTTTACTTACAACAAAATGAGTTTCATGTCTAATCCCATTTTGATTAAGTACAGATGCAAATATTTTTTTCTGGCGAATAAAATATATCTGCTTTAACTGATTCACGAGCAAATAAAATATTCATATCTGATTCAACTGATTCACGAGCAACAAAAATATTCATACCTGATTCAACTGATTCACGAGCAAATAAAATATTCATATCTGCTTCAACTGATTCACGAGCAAATAAAATATTCATATCTGCTTCAACTGATTCACAAGCAAATAAAATATTCATATCTGATTCAACTGATTCACGAGCAACCTAACTACCTCCCTCCCTCCCTCCCAACCTACCTACCTACCTACCTACCTACCTACCTACCTAGATCACGTGATGAAACACGACACTCTCACAGCAGCCCTAACAGTCATGTATAAATATGTCATCTATTCGATATAGGTCTTTGTGCTAAATTTCTCTTTTACACATTTTTCGTTGTGTTTTTTCTGGTTGCGCTTTTTTCCGTTTGCGCTTTTTTCTGTTTGCGCTTTTTTCCGTTTGCGCTTTTTTTCTGTTTGCGCTTTTTTCCATTTGCGCTTTTTTCCGTTTGAGCTTTTTTCCGTGTGCGCTATTTTCTGTTTGCGCTTTTTTCCGTTTGCGCTTTTTTCTGTTTGCGCTTTTTTCCGTTTGCCATTTTTTCTGTTTGCGCTCTTTTCTGTGTGCGCTTTTTTCTGTTTGCGCTTTTTTCCATTTGCGTTTTTTTCTGTTTGCGCTTTTTTCTGTGTGCGCTTTTTTCTCTTTGTGCTTTTTTCCGTTGCGCTTCTTTCCGGTCACCATGTAGATGTTAGCATTCATTTCATTTCTAGATTATACTACACACATAAATTGCCCAATTCATGTCGGTTCTGATTTGCTTATAAATAGAAAATATTTAAATCGAAATGATATTTCTATTTATCGAGTGGAAAACTTATTGTGTTAAAAGGGACTAATATGAACCATTCTGGATCTCAAAAAATTATCCTAGTGAATAATGTTATCTTGGGTTTCATTTTTTTAAATATACGCTTATTCATTTTTAACTCTAAATGTGTATACATAATATTAAAATTATGATTACAAAAGGGTTAAAACCCGCTGCAGCGCTATAAAAGCTCGGGTGTGGCGACAGAATATTACCACAACTGATTTTCCTTGTGAGAATACGTTGTTTCACAGTTCTAAAATGTTTAAACGTGCCCTTATTTTCTTTCTCGGCTTCAACGCTGCAGGTCAGTAGTTAAAAACTTTGTTTCTTGAATGAAATTCCTTTTTATGCATTGGCTTTTAAATTCAGCTGAAATTCTCATTTTGCGAATATACCAACAGAACTTTTTACGAAAAATGTAAAATAAAAAATAAGTCATGACTATATTAGAGTTACAACTCAATTAGATAAAATAAGAATAACCTTTTTCATATAATTCATAAAATATGGTTAATTTTAAAACAGATTTTGATTTTTTAGAAAGTGTGAGTTGGTTTTTGATAAGAAGGATCATTAGTTTGGGACGGGTACTTTATTAGTGAACTAATTGTGACAAAAATTTAAGTAAAAAGTTTGCATTTAAAAAAGTACATTTTACTTGGTTTATAAATGTGTAATGACGTATATTTCTTCCATGTACTTGATTATGTTTATATTTCTGTTAGTTGGTTAGATTATTCTTACACTTCAGTTTACAAAATCGTGATTCATTAACTTGATATAAGGGGCCAGCGAAATGTTCATGGTTTCTAAGCGGCAAGTCCCTAGTTCGAACCCTTAAACAGAGGAGGCTAGATACTAGGGGACAGAAACCAATCTAGAAGAGAAGTGAACTCAATAGCCACACCAAGTTGGGCTTGTTTTTTAAATCCTCCATCATATACTTAATTAAGAACGAAGAAGAAAGAAGAAGCTACACCAAAGATCAGTTAGTTCCCGGATTTTAGAGATAGTTTACACATAACCGCAGAAACTTTATATTAATACCCATGCAAAAACACGGTTCAATCCTTCGTAGTTTACCTGCTATTGTGTTAGGTTAAAGTTTTTGTTTTGTAACTGGCCCAGTGTTGTGCCTTCGTAGTTTACCTGCTATTGTGTTAGGTTAAAGTTTTTGTTTTGTAACTGGCCCAGTGTTGTGCCTTCGTAGTTTACCTGCTATTGTGTTAAGTTAAAGTTTTTGTTTTGTAACTGGCCCAGTGTTATGCCTTCGTAGTTTACCTGCTATTGTGTTAGGTTAAAGTTTTTGTTTTGTAACTGGCCCAGTGTTGTGCCTTCGTAGTTTACCTGCTATTGTGTTAGGTTAAAGTTTTTGTTTTGTAACTGGCCCAGTGTTGTGCCTTCGTAGTTTACCTGCTATTGTGTTAAGTTAAAGTTTTTGTTTTGTAACTGGCCCAGTGTTATGCCTTCGTAGTTTACCTGCTATTGTGTTAGGTTAAAGTTTTTGTTTTGTAACTGGCCCAGTGTTGTGCCTTCGTAGTTTACCTGCTATTGTGTTAGGTTAAAGTTTTTGTTTTGTAACTGGCCCAGTGTTATGCCTTCGTAGCTTACCTGCTATTGTGTTAGGTTAAAGTTTTTGTTTTGTAACTGGCCCAGTGTTGTGCCTTCGTAGTTTACCTGCTATTGTGTTAGGTTAAAGTTTTTGTTTTGTAACTGGCCCAGTTTTATGCCTTCGTAGTTTACCTGCTATTGTGTTAGGTTAAAGTTTTTGTTTTGTAACTGGCCCAGTGTTATGCCTTCGTAGTTTACCTGCTATTGTGTTAGGTTAAAGTTTTTGTTTTGTAACTGGCCCAGTGTTGTGCCTTCGTAGTTTACCTGCTATTGTGTTAGGTTAAAGTTTTTGTTTTGTAACTGGCCCAGTGTTGTGCCTTCGTAGTTTACCTGCTATTGTGTTAGGTTAAAGTTTTTGTTTTGTAACTGGCCCAGTGTTATGCCTTCGTAGTTTACCTGCTATTGTGTTAGGTTAAAGTTTTTGTTTTGTAACTGGCCCAGTGTTATGCCTTCGTAGTTTACCTGCTATTGTGTTAGGTTAAAGTTTTTGTTTTGTAACTGGCCCAGTGTTGTGCCTTCGTAGTTTACCTGCTATTGTGTTAGGTTAAAGTTTTTGTTTTGTAACTGGCCCAGTGTTATGCCTTCGTAGTTTACCTGCTATTGTGTTAGGTTAAAGTTTTTGTTTTGTAACTGGCCCAGTGTTATGCCTTCGTAGTTTACCTGCTATTGTGTTAGGTTAAAGTTTTTGTTTTGTAACTGGCCCAGTGTTGTGCCTTCGTAGTTTACCTGCTATTGTGTTAGGTTAAAGTTTTTGTTTTGTAACTGGCCCAGTGTTGTGCCTTCGTAGTTTACCTGCTATTGTGTTAGGTTAAAGTTTTTGTTTTGTAACTGGCCCAGTGTTGTGCCTTCGTAGTTTACCTGCTATTGTGTTAGGTTAAAGTTTTTGTTTTGTAACTGGCCCAGTGTTGTGCCTTCGTAGTTTACCTGCTATTGTGTTGGGTTAAAGTTTTTGTTTTGTAACTGGCCCAGTGTTATGCCTTCGTCGTTTACCTGCTATTGTGTTAGGTTAAAGTTTTTGTTTTGTAACTGGCCCAGTGTTGTGCCTTCGTAGTTTACCTGCTATTGTGTTAGGTTTAAGTTTTTGTTTTGTAACTGGCCCAGTGTTGTGTTCTTTGAAATTATTTTAATCTATAAAACTCTTGTGATCTAGTTTGTGAGCACATCAGACAAACTGAAACATGTGCCCGTCTTCAGGACTGTGTTAACCCATTTGATAGAGTTAAAGAAAACTTTTTGAAAGACTTCATTGTTCAAAAGACATACCACAAATTTTGTCAGTGAGTAATGTTTTTTATGTTCGAAACTAAATAAAAAATGTGTAGATTTCAAAACTAAAATATTTTAAAGTATCCAATACATGGATTTATATGGCAACCGAAAAATTCATCTGTTTCTGTGATATCGACGTATCAATGTATTTTTAAGTCGTAGCAATGTCCATTACGCTTTACTCTTCCAAGATTAACTTCAAGTACATATTTGATTAAAAAATACAGAACAGGATACTTCGGGATATAACTCTGTGAACCAACCTTCAACCGATGTTTGTTAGAAATGTTATTTCATAAATATTAACTAGCAATGGTAATGGCGTACTGGTTTTTAAAACATCCAATCCTCTAACGAGAAGCAAATTGAAACTAGTTTAACAGTTTTCAATCTCCACCACGTTAGATTTTGATTCGAGCTAAGCTTTGCTACGTTTTCTAATTTTAGATGGACAGTCATGTGAAATGTTTCGAGCCTTTCCAAACAACAGTTAATACAAATAAAATATTGCATTAACACGAATCAACTTACAATTGCTAGGTCAACCCCAGACTTCGGCTCTTGCTACTTTAAATTTGAGGACGAATGCACTAACGATGAGTTTAAGGATACCCTGCTAAGTAAAGTCTTGCTGGCTAGATTTCTGTGCTCTAATGAAAGCGTAAAAGGTAAAAATCAATTTCTGTTCAAACAGAATCTAATTGGGAGATGTTTAGGTAACAGATGTGTTTCTCAATACATATTATATTTAAAATAACAAGTCGAATTTAAGGTTTTTACAAGCTTTTATTTCATTCGCAACATCCGTCTGTTTGTTTATTTATTTGTTTGTGGTTTTGTTGCACATCTTGTACCTCAATTATGACTAACTTCTAATGCATCGAATTCGCTCAAATTTGCCAGATACCTTCTTCTTCGAGGGAATTGAAGGAATATCTATTTTTTAATCTAATAAGACATTGAATTGGTAAATAAAATCTAGTTTAAACTGTTTCGAAACTAAGAACAGATAACAAGATTAAATGTTAATTATCACTCTTTTCAATATCAGAAGGGGATATAACTATATAGAAGCGATTACTCGATGAACTAAACTGCGGTTTTCGCTGAATGTTGTTTGGTCACGGTTGGAAGCTTGAGAGTCCACCTCGTAGAAGAAGCAGAAAATTGTCTCTTTGAGAAAATAGCAATCGGGATTCGACACAAATATTTTTAGTCGAAGCTTTGGTCGCGATATTTTTTACATTTTTTAGCGGCTAAATCCTTTATTAAAGAAGACGTGTTTGTTTATTTTCTTATTTTCAATGCATTTTAAATATTTTATATTTGTTTTATTAAATCATGTTCTCTTTATTTCATAATGTCTACTTTTAAATCAAATTGACTGATTTCGTTTACTTTTCGGTCTTGTCCATCCTGTGTTTGGATTATAGTTTCTTAAACTCATAATTTCAACAGATACAGAATTAAAAGATTAATTTTATTTTCGAAAATTCAGAAATATCCGCCTTGGCTGGCAATGAGTGCCCAACTAACGATCAGAAGATGGTAAAACTCATACAGTCTTATGATGGATGTATGCAGCAATTTGATGATGATATACAGAGTGCCGATAAAATTGATAAAGATATTTCGTCCAGCAAGTTATGCCTGTAATATTGTTTTAATTATCTGAATTGTATTACAATTATTTGATAGAGTTTAATTGAACGGATAATCTATGGATGAATGTCTTGACAAGATGATAACGCAATTAAATCGTGTTTAATGTTTTGCAAACATAACGTATAGTTGCGATAAATGGTGTACACAGCCTTTGTAAATTCTCACAATAGTACATTTTAGAAGAACACATTTCCTGTTTTTAGACTGGCGAGTAAGCTATTCACTTGTGTTAGAAACACATCTACTGCACACTGTGGCCAGAGAGTAGGAAGTTTCCTGACCCGCATGTGGGATGCGGAAGGCACATTTCACGAATTTCAATTAGCAAGTTGCACGTCACGCTCGTGAGTTTGGTTGGGCAAAATATGTTTTGTGATTGGTATTAACTATTCAATAATCTAAAAAAAAACATTTCCATTCATTTTACATGTTTGTTTGACATTGATTTTGTCATTTACTTTTATTTTCACTCCATGTTCATATTATTTTACATTATATTTTCCAGGTAACAATATTGAGGCCATTGTTTTGTTATTGTCGGGGTCAGACTAACTAAAACGCTGAACATCTGATCTGTCATAGTGCTACTTTTGTCTACTGTTTACGTTATTAATTTTCTAGAAAAATTTTAAATCGTAATTCTCGTAATAATAAGCTGTGTTTTCTTTAAAAACGAAATTAATTTTAATATTTGTATCAATTCAAAAAACAACAAAATATGAATTGCATCTACACAACAGTATAAATTTGTATTCAGTATTAAGCAATCTCTCTTCTGCATTTTAAAGATTGTGCATATATTTCATTAAAAAAACTGTTCACAACCACATTCACCTTTTCTTAAACTATTTTCTTTTTTAATATCGTTTTACGGCACCTAAACTCTTTTAACTCTCCACGGTTTTGAACGCTTCATAGACCTACTAGTCAAATCAATAATTTTGGACAGGGGGGGGGGGGCGGCTTTTTTAATATTAGGAAGTTCGATAATTCATTCAAGCGAACGCGAAACAACGCCCACTCCCCTGCTTCCATTACCACGGTTTTAGTTTTCCACAATAGAACCCACCTTCAACCGTGTCCTCTAAGTATATCTTCTTTTAAATACCTAAAAACTGAGTTGCACCACTTTATGTTATGTAACAGAATAGTATAACGCACAGTTCGTCACATGGATACAACCATTATGTATATCTATTATCATTTTTTTTTTCATTTTAATGTCTAGATTATAGCTTTATTACAAATAATTTATTTTAACAAAAAGACATAACGCGTACTGCCTAATGCAATTAGTCAATTCGCCTTTTAAAATGCTAACCAGTCGTATTGAATATACCTGCTCATCCATAAAAGCTACCCATTCCTGCACCCGAAAGGAAGATTTTGCACAGTCGAAGCCGTAGTTAGATTAAACTATAGAACTTTGTTGCTGAAGGAGAAAGATAAGGGTAAGATGACGTATAGGCTATGGGTGTTGCATTGTAGAAAAAATTAAGCTCATGGTATTAGATGGTCAACGGCTGAGAATTCGACTCCGGTTAGATTAAATGTAAAATGTGGGTTGTTGAGAAAAAAAATCACAGGAGAAATAAACAGAAAAATAAACTACAGGAAATAAACATGGAGTGATCTCCCCTAAAAACTACAGAGGATGAAAACTCGGGATATAGACATGATTTTTAAATCCATTTTAAATTACTTAAACTTTTAAAAATAGAATTCTCGTAGACAAAAAAGAATTGCGCACCCAGTGAATGGCAAACAATATGTGTATAATAGTGCGAAAATTACTCAAAATTTAAAAGAAGGCAGAGAATCAGATATTTTACTTACATGTGAAATGTCATTTATCTATCTGAAACAGTACTCAAGTTATAGGCTTTTGAAAAAATGAAAGTAGAATAAATTCAACTTCCGGTTATCGGAAATCACTGAAAAGTTTATGCTGATCTACAAGTTTGATATAATACTTATATATGAAATTTCATCAACCTAGCTGTATCGGTACTCAAGTTATGGTGTTTACAGACACACACACACACACATACACAAACACACACACAGACATACGGACAAGATTGCAAAACTATGTGTTTCCGACTCAGGGAGGTGTAAATACAATACTTTCTCTTTACTTCGTATACAAGAAAGTAAAAATACACACCAAAACAATAGAAAACAAGAAACACAACACAAACAGTTTTGTAATCTTTAAAAAAAACATTTTTATATAATGGAATATTCACTAGAATAGTTGAGCTATACTATTTTTCTTTCTCTGCGTCAAGGACGCTCAAGCGAAAACAAGGAAAATTCAAAGATAGTTAAAGAACGTGACGTCACATGGAACGTATAGGAAAATTTTAAAAAGGGAAACGAAATATCTACAGTTGAAAAGAATGAAAAGTCCACTCAATAAAATGGCGTCAATGAATCTAGAGTAAATATATAATTGAAAATCTAATGCCGAAAAATGCACAATAATAAATACGTCATCGATATATATGCTGCTTAATAAACACCCAAGTCATTGTCCTTTACAGATGGTTTTTTCACAGACTGCTAGTATATTATATAATATGTGTTCAGTAGCTGCTTTCAGTCTTATCCAACTTTTCATCACTATTCTACGCGCGTTATCATGTTCATTAGTTGCGTAATAGTTTTTAGTCATACAACTTTATTGTATTAAGAAATTTAAAGTACTGAAAACAAATTGCGTAAAACGTTTACTATATAATGTACTAAAGAGTAGAAAATAAATAACTTTCTTTCAATATATAACAATACGCCACTATTTAAATAACTAGAAAAGCGTGGGTCTCTTCTTAAATAAAGTTATCCGATAGATAATAAAGTGACCCTCGCTTTTCGCTTAACTCTTTTCCATAAGAAACACATTGTGCTTGAATATAAAATGCTGAAATAGAAATAATGATATTAAGTTATATCGTTTTGTAATACAATCCAGTTCAATCTGCTTGATGTACTGTACATGTCTTTATTAATCCATTAGCGGTCTATGGTCACTGTTCTGTGGTCTGAGGTCTGTGGTCTGTCGTCTGTCGTCTGTCGTCTGTCGTCTGTCGTCTGTCGTCTGTCGTCTATCGTCTATCGTCTATCGTCTACGGTCTATCGTCTATCGTATGCTGTCTGTGGTGTGCGATCTTTGGTGTGGTTTATAAAAGATACCTTCTCGTTTAAGCCATCATGTGCTCGAATACAAAATCTTAGTATCAACCGCGGTCTATTTATTTACATGGTCTTATGATTAACGACATCACACAGACAAAGTATAAATGTGTACACAATTTAAAAACTAAATCTATCATTTTAACACACACATAAATGCCACTACGTGGCTGCACGGTAGCGCACGGCTGCTAACCCAAACGTCTCGTGTTCAGATACCAGGATCAAGTTCGGTAGATCGTCCATGACTACTACTAATGAGTAACTTTTCATTAAGGATAAGTGAAGGCGGCAGGTCATTAACCTCACTGTCGAGGTAACAGAAACAGATGAACTCTGGTTCGTTGGCCGCCTGATAACACGTATTTGACGGCTGCAGGTTTTACAAATACAATCTGTAGTGTAGCTAAAAACAGGACATGTCGTCCGAAATCTGATGTGAAGACCTATGGTGTAGGTCGATATAATTTAGAGGTTAGTTATAGGTATGGTGAGAAGTCTTGTCTAATGATAGATTAATAGTGATCTTAACATTCGCGCGCAACATATTTAACCGCTACAAATAATGGTTAGGGCGAATACATTAGTTGTTAGTGCTAATTCACACCAGGTTAGGGCGAATAGACAATTGGTTAAGGCGAATAGAAAACTAGTTAGAGCGAATACTTGAGTGGTTAGGGGAATACATAAGTGATTAGGGCGAATACATTAGTGGTTAGGCCCATACATGACTGGTTAGGGCAAATACTTGACTGGTTAGGGCGAATACATGAGTAGTTAAAGCGAATACATTGCTGGTTATAGCAAACACACATCTCGTTGGGGGAATACACTATAAAGCACAAAGATATTGAACTTTTTTAGTGGCTCACGGCAAGAAAATAACATCCAGCCTGGGATGACTGCTTGTTCAAGCGGGTTGAGTAAGGAATAAAAGCAGCCATTTGCTGAGACAAATTTTCATAGGGTATTTTTTTTTTACCATGCCTGAGGATCGATGCCTAAATAGTTATGGGTCACTCTCAGAGGCGTAGCGACCTTTCCCGGCGCCCAGGGACAAATTTTCAATTTGGCGCCCCCCTTGGGAGCAAATTTTCATTTTTGCACCCCCCCCCCCCCCCCCCCATCGCAAACTGAAAAAATGCTAAATTTGTTTTTACAACCCATTTTGACGCCCCCTAAGGTCAGCGCCCGGGGACATATGTCCCCCCCTGCCCCCCATCGCTACGCCTCTGGTCACTCTATAAAGTGCAATTAAATAAGCACATTTTTAAAAATTAAATCATTGATCTACCCTTTACAGCAGCAGGGTTTTAAACCATATAAAGATAAGCGCTCAGCCACCTAACAAAAACCACATACCCAGCACTTGAAACACATAAAATAATATTCATTTAGTAAAAATAAAAGAGGGAGTGATCTCCCCTAAACTTTCTCGAATATTCTTAGACAACAACAACAACAACCCCAGTTCAGTCGGGATATAGGCATTTTAAAACAAAATCAATTTTCAAATAATTATTTTCTAAATAGAATAGAACCTCGCTTAACAAATAATTGCGCACAAAATGAATAGCAAATAATATGTGTATAATAGTGAGGTACATTAGTAGTTTATAAAGAAAGACAGAGTAATTTAGTTTAAAATATATTCACATGAGTTTTTTGAGAAATCGGAAATAGTACTACTTCCGATAACCGGAAATTACTCACAATTTGTCAGAAAAAAAGATAATAAAATCGTCTACATATAGGCCTATGTAAAATTTCTTCTAACTGAAAAGGTACTTATTATAGGCTTTTGAAAAACCGATAGTGGGAAAAGTTCCACTTCAGGTTACTGGAAATTGCTGAAAAGTTGATATAAAATTACAAATTTAAAGTAATACTTATACATGACATTTCGACAACCTAGTTTTAACGTTACAGACACACAGATATCCACACGGACAGAATTGCAAAGTCCAGTTTTTCCGACTCGATGAAGCGTAAATCGCCGAGATTTTGATAAAACTGTATTTAGAATTTTTGCCCGATTAAAATAAGTCTCATGTACTCGGTATATGATGAGGTACTGAGGTGTAAAAATGTGAACACTGTCAAAATTTCCTGTGATTTTTGTGCACCATTACAATATTTCCTCTATACTCTGTATACGAGAAAGTAAAAGACAAAACACCAGTGTATAAACGGCGGCTGCTTTTATGCGTTCAAAAGGTTTTCCTAACATTCTAATGTCTGGGCTGCTCTTTCTTTTCAACTGTATCGACCGTTACTTCAAGTCTTATATTTGACATTTAAAGGTTGTCCATAAATCATTTAAGACAAGACCTACCCTCGCCAATTTGACCACTTACTCTACGTGAGTGTGTGT